CTTCCTTCCTTCCTTCCTTCCTTCCTTCCTTCCTTCCTTCCTTCCTTATAGGGTTTCTTTGTTTTGTAGCTCTTGCTATCCTAGAATTTGTTATGTAGACTAGGCTGACTTTGAACTCTCAGAGTTGGGATAAAAGGCATGTGCCACCATGCCCAGCCAGCCTTGAACTCTTCCTTCAATTCCCTAGTGCTGGAGTTTCCACCATGCTCAGCTCTTAATTTTTTTTTGGAAGGGTTAAAGAAAAGTGGGGCAAATAAAATATGAATATAAATGTTTGAACTTTCTGTCAAAACTGTAATCAGACAGAGATGAGCTTGATATGGCAGACTAATGGCTGGGCTTAGTGACCTTCATTCCTCTCCCTGTCTGCCCTGTGTGCTTCCGGATGAGAAACCCTGCCAAGATCATCCTGTGCTACCTGAGGTCGCTTCTGTTAAGTGTCTAGTCACAGTGGTGGTGAGAACAGTCAACAATGCAATGGCGTTTGCTGTTACAGTGTAATCCAGTGGTCTGTCATTTATACTCCAGTTCTTCAGTGCTCTTTCTGGAGTGCTCCTGATTGTCAAAGCCATGGTTCCGGGGAAAGGTCCCCTTCAGGTCCCCTTAGGGAAGGTGGCTCAAGCCTCAGACCACATGCTTCCACAGCTGCTGGGTGTACGGCGCTTGCCCAGCACGTGTGTTTCCAGTCCTGGCTTGGATCCCCAGCACCACAAAAGCAAACAGAGTGGAAAAAAAAAATAGAACTTGTACATGGATGGAGAGAGAGAGAGAGTAGAAAGAATTTATGCTTCTTACAAGGTATGTGAGTTCAGATAATAAGCTGTATGAGAATACATGTAAAGTTTCTACTGTAGAATGACTTCTGCTGGATTTGGGAGAGAGGCCTTTCCTTGGATGTATGCCAGAGCAGCCAGTGCTCTCGACCATGGAGCCATCTCTCCAGCTCCACAGCAGTTTTGTCTGTTTTGTTTTTTTCCAGACAGGACTCACAGGGATCCACCTGCCTCTGCCTCACAGGTGCTGGGATTAAAGGCATGTGCCACCATGCCTGGCCTCCCCACAGCAGCTTTTATAATAAAGTTTTACTTTTTGTTTTAAAAAGTAGAAATAGGGCTAGGCTTGGTGGCACACACCTTGATCCTGGCACTTAGGAGGCAGGTGCAGGCAGATCTCTGTGAGTTCAAGGCCAGCCTGGCCTACAGAGTGAGTCAGGACTGTTATACCTGCCTTAATAATCAAACAAAAAAAGTAATATGCAGCAAAATATAAAATTAAACATAAGGCCAGATATAGTGGCAGTTCGTATAATTCTAGCGCTACCCACAGGGGGATTGTACAAGTTCAAAGCTAGCTGGTCTACATAGCAAATTTTATATGAAATGTATGAAATAATTAGGATTTACACACAGCTTCTCCTACAGGTAGTCTCTGTAAGCAAGTTCTGTAAGTCCGCTAATAAATAAATAAATAAATAGATCTTTTAAAAAAGTTATTCAGAACAGATGATATATTTACTTGAAAATAATTTTAAAAGGAAAATGAAAAACACGGGCAAGTTCATGAAATAAAGTGGGGACTTCTGTGTGATAGTGACGTCCTGGCCACAGCATCTCACAGGACAAGCATCCACTTCTGTCACCCTTGGTCTGATGACGTGGAGGCTTTTGCTCCAGACACCTTTAGCCTAGCCTTGTTTTCATCTCCAGGGGTAGTCTGGATAAAGAGCCCTAGGAGGGAAAAGCCATCCTGGTGTGCTGCTCAAGTAGCGAATGATGTCATAGCCATTTGTAGCCTTTGGGAAAATCTCTCACCTTCGTAGTTTCATCAGCTAAGAAAATTAATTATGGATCTAGCCATTGTATACATACTAATTATGAGGTTTTAAAAAGTGCATGGAAATCTATGACTGGCATTGTTATTTAGGCTGTAAGGTATAGTTTGGTGAAGGTTCGTCTTCTTAATGTGGAGAGAGTTTGGCTACCTGTGGGGAGTAATAAGAAATTATCACAAACCAAATGGATTTAAATGACACATGTTGATCATGCCCCAGTTTTGGAGGTTAGAAAGCCTGGAGGGCTTCGCTTAGCCGCATGATTCTGGCCTGGTGGTAAAGTTGAAGCCTAGGCGGAGGCAGAGCCTGCACAAATGAGAAGCCATTGCATGACTTTTAGCTCGTCTCTGCTTCTTCTGCTGAGACCCCGGTCTAGGGCGTCAGAGTGTCCTCAAAATATCACACACACACACACACAGAGAGAGAGAGAGAGAATAGGAATATGAGGATCTGGGCATCAGTTCTGAAATACTGTGTAAGCCATAGAGACCAACACTGATAGTGCACCATGAAAGCGAAGTTTCCAGGCCATGAACAACGTCAGGCCTGGGCACGGGCTTTGGTCAGGCGACACTGCCCCTAGCTGAGAGTCACTGCCCGGTTCCGGTAAACCAAGTTACTGCAGCTGGTTTTGTGTACTTGAGTGACAACATGCAGAGCTTTGTGTTTTCTCGAAGGTCAGAGGTCAGACACCCGAAAGTGGGGCTCAGGGACTCAGGAGACTTCTATCTTTTAATTTTGAAATTTTAGCCAGAACAGGACCAGAGCTCCAGGAGCAAGGGACAGTCCCCTTCCCTCCCATTTTGTTGTCCACCACAGGGCCACTAGCCTGACTCGGGCTGTGGGATATCCACTCGGAAAGCTTGTTTTCAGTGGAACTATCCCGGAAACAGCAGAGGTTTTAGACCAGAACGGTGATCAGCTCACTCCTTAGCTATCTGGCATCTGCTGGTTCTTCCGGGGATTGTGTCGCTCCGTTTCAAGCTACAGTTGCCACACTCAGAGCCCTGCAGCCTGGTAAGCCAGTGGCATGCAAGTGTGTGGGGGGCGGTCCTGACCCCACTGCTCCTGATCCCTGGAGATGTGGCCTCTTTTGCTTCTTCGTGGCTGACCAGGTTTCAGGCTGAGGCTGGGCTGCCTGCTGGACTCTGGTGCCCCCTCCTGTCCAATCTGAGGCTGGCATCAATTTAGGATGCCGGGTTATGCATTTCCTAGAGTTCTGCTTCCTTCTCAATTTATTGAGAAAAATGACACAAGTTTCTCCCCTGCCATGTGGCCCATCTGCTTCCAGCCATCACGGTGGTGGTCTCTGCGCTTGTCCACACCGTCCTCTGCTGCCTGCTTGTCACCCAAATCACACGGCTGTCCCCCAGCCTGAGGGTTTGTGCTTGTTCTGTTTGTTGGTTTTAAGTCTCAAGTATCCCTGGCTGACTTTGAATTCTCCTTCCTCTTTTTTAGACTTATTTTAATTTTATGTATATGGATATTTTGCCTACATGTACGTCTATGCAGCAGCTGTGTGCCTGGTGCCCACGGAGGCCAGAAAGAGGGCACTGGCTCCCCTGTGACTGAGGTTATGGACTCCTAACTGTAAGCTACCCAGTATGGGTTCTGTGAACGCATGTCCTCTGGAAGAGCAGCCAGCGCTCTTAACTGCTGAGCCACCTCTCCAGCCCTGAGTTTCCACGTTTATATGTTACCACATTTTGACTTCTTAAGAAAAATCTGCAGTCTAATTTTTTTCAAATTATCATGCGTAATGATGTATGTGTGTATTTCAGGGACTTTTCAAAAAGTTATTAAAAATACATTTCTTTCTTTCTCTCTCTCTCTCTCTCTCTCTCTCTCTCTTTCTCTCTCTCTCTCTCTCTGTGTGTGTGTAGGGAGTCAGAAGACAACTTGGGAAGGCACGTCTCTTTTCCACCGGGTGGATTCCAAATATTGATCTCAGGTCACCAGGCTGGCTGCAGGTTCCTCAACCTGCTTAGCTCTTTTACCAGCCCCTCAAAAAGTTTTAAAATAGGAAAGTTGGTGCTCGCTTCGGCAGTACACAAACTAAAATTATAGTGATACAGAGATTGGCATGGCCCCTGCACAGGAGTGACATACAGAGTGATGAAACAGTCCATATTTAAAAAACAGAAAAGTTATTGATTCACTTTGATGCTGTATTTTCTAAGCTTTAAAATGTTTTGTTTTGAAGAAATCTCATCTGATAAGACAATAAGCGTTCTGACCTATAGGCGTCAGCACAGGCCCCCTTCGTCAGGCCCAGCATGGCCACTGCGTACCTCCCCTCCCACTGGGAGTGAAACCGACTCTAAAGAGTAAAGCTGTTTGGGTGGCCTCTACAGAAACGTCCTCTGAAGTTCGCACACACCTGAATAGTCATGAGCACAGTCATTCTATCTCTGTCCGTCTGGGCAGGGAGGCACACTGGCTCATGGGAGACTGAAGTACTGAGGGTTGCCTATTTCCTGAATTTTGGAGATTGGAAATGTAGATGATGTGCTGAATGCCAGATCTCAGAATTTGGGTCACCCAGCTTCCGTTCTGAGCCAGAGAACCATGAGGTTCCGGGGCAGTCTCCTGTGTGGACCCACTAGTTCCATAAGGCCTTTAAATCCGAAACCCATGGCTTAGTCACAGTGGCCGTACGTCACGTGCTCCAGGCATGACCACCCCATTGGACGGCTCACGAAGAACAGTCCCAACATGGGAAGGCCTGTTTTAATAAGGAAACAGATGAACTTTTCTAACGGCCTAGAAGTTTTTACAAGACTATATTAGTCTGTTATCTTTATTTGGTGACTATTTAAAAAAAAAAAAAAAAAAAAGCTCTTAATTGCTACAGCATTTTAAGTTGAGAGATTTCCCACACATGCTCCCTCACATACGCAGCTCTCCCCGCCGCTGTGACATGCTTTTTGCAGTCGGCAGAGTGCGCGGGTCACAGGTGGGTGCGCTAGGCGTGTGCAGCCTGTGGATTTGGACACGTGTAAACACACTATCGACCAGTGTGTTATTATGTTGCTTAACTTTCTCCTTACTGTCAAATTTAGAGGAAGAAGGTTTTGTGGCTCATGATTTGAGAGGTTTCTGTGCATGGTTGCTTGGGCCTATGAGCTTGATTAGATTCTCATGGGAAGCAGGGCACCGTGGTTAGGACTCGCTGAGAAGCGGGCCAGGCAGACAGTTACCCAGAAGGCAGGACAACCTGCAGAGCAGGGAGTCCCCGAGGAGCTGTCCCTCCCCACGAAGTCTCCCTCTGAGGACCACAGTCATCTGAACAGCGCTGGCCAGGGGAGGGCCAGGCATTGAGACAAGGGCCTGTAGGGGGTGTTTCATATCAGCACACAGCCATGTATGTGGATGAGAATGTATGTACCTGTGTGCAATGTGTGTGTTCATGTATGTGGGTGAGTATGTATGTACCTGTGTGCGCATGTGTGTGTTCATGTATGTGGCGAGTATGTATGTACCTTTTTGCACATGTGTGTTCATGTATGTGGGTGAGTATGTATGTACCTGTGTGTACATGTGTCTGTTCATGTATGTGGGTGAGCATGTAAATACCTGTATGCACATGTGTGTTCATGTGTGTGGATGAGTATATATACTTGTGTGCACATGTGTGGACACAGCAGACAGCCCTGGACAAAGTCCTTTGAGGCAGGGTGTCACTGGTCTGCAGCTCCCCATTTAGAGGAGAGCTGGCCAGTGAGCCTGGGATTACAAGTGTGGACTTGTGCCGCAGCGCTGAATGAGTCCTGGGGGCTATAACCAGGTCTCAGGCCTGCGAGGCCAGCCGGTGCTGCCGGGGCTGCCTCCCAGCTGTCAGAGTCAGAGCTGGCGATCGCAAGCTTTTTTAGAGGGCCCTTCCACTGCTCCTTGGTAACTGCGGTGGAGTGAGAATGGCCCCCTAGGCTCGGATGTCTGAACGTGTGGTTCCCAGCTAGTGGCACTGTTGGAAAGGGTTAGGAGGTGCGGCCTCTCTGGAGGAGGGGTGGATGTTGAGGCTCAGAAGCCCATGCCGGGCAGGCCCAGTCTCAGTGACTGTCCGCAACTTGTGGGTCAGTTGTGAATGCTCGCCTACTGCTCCAGTGCCATGGTTGCCTTCCTGTCACCATGCTCCCTGCCATGATGATCATGGGCAGACCCTCTGAAGCTGTAACCACACTCCCAACTGATGCTTTCTTCTATAAGCTGCCTTGGCCATGGTGTCTCTGCACAGCAACAGAACAGCAACCAAGACAGTACATTTTCTAGGAATAGAGTTTGAATATCACATTTCATTTTTTACTTATGTGTGTATGTGAGAGAGAGAGCTTTAATCAGTGCTGTGTATATGAAAGTATCCACAGAGGCTAGAAGAGGGTGTCATCCCCCTGCCGCTTGAGTGTCAGGCACTTGTAAGCTGCCCAATATGGGTGCTTGGGCCAGAGCTCTGGCCTCTGAAGAGCAGCAGGAGCTCTTAACCACTGAGCCATCCCTCCAGCCACCCCACCCCTCCTTTAAAGTAGAGAATAGAAATGTATTCCTTGACTAGGTAAACCTCCCAGGCAGGTGAGCAAGCAGCCTCTTGGCAACCCAGGTTCCTTCCATCATATGGCTCCCAGGCCTTGCCATTACTCATGAAATCAAAACCACAAAGAACATGGATGAGTGGGCAAGATATCTTTACCAGGCCATGGCTTTCAGGAACACACGTCATTTTTGACCACATTCCAGAGGAGAGGACACAGGGGCCACCCATGTCTAGCTCTTTGTTAAAGGACGAATGGTGTGATGTGACTAGGGAACTATCTCAGAGCTAGTGCTTGTGATATAAATATCTCCTGTCCTCTCCACCAGCCATAACTGGCGACTTCAGGACAAGTCCCTGCACCGCACAGAGCTGCCTGGTACAGTCAGTGTGGAGCAGCAGGCTGAAAGGGAGACCTGGTTGTCCACCTTGTCGTCAGAAGATAAAGCTTTTTTTTTTTTTCTTTTAAGATTTATTTATTTATTTATTTCATGTAGATAAGTGCCCTTCTGCATGGATACCTGCATGCCAGAAGAGGGCATCAGATCCCAGTGGTTGTGAGCCACCACATGGTTGCTTGGAATTGAACTCAGGACTCCTGGAAGAACAGACAGTACTCCTAACTGTTGAGCCATCTCTTCAGCCCCTAATTATTTCTTTCTTTAGACAGGGTTTCGCTATGTAGCTTGGCTGGCCTCACTATGTAGATCAGGCTGACCCAGAAACCACAGAGATCTGTCTGTTCCTGCTGCTTGAATGCTAGGATTAAAGTGTGAGCCAATACCCTGGCCAAGGCTGAATTTCACTGGGGGACTTTCTGGAACAGTTTAACAGCAGAGTGTCTTCTGTGAGCTGCTGGGATCTGAACTCCAGCCCTCAGGGTTGAGCAGGGACCACCTTTAACTGCTCCTCTCTGTCCTGCTCCCCAAGCCCAGTTTCAACCACAGATATTGAGGTTTGCTTTCTCTGCTTTATTTTAGGATCCTAAAATTTCGCTGGCCTTTCTGAACCCTTGCATTGACATAGTTTTCTTCAGGTCTGCAGTGATTTGATTCTTGTGGGTTGGTTAGATGCCGCTGTGCTCACTGGGAGCCTTCCTAGCTTTCTTTGCAAATCATGGGATTGCTTGGCTAAATGATCCCCTTGTAAAGCACTACCCTGATTCCCTCCCCTTGCAGTCAAAGAATGTGTGTTCCTTTAAAACAAATGAGCAGTTTTCACCTTTTCTCTTGCCTCCTGTTAAGGTGAATGTGTGGGTCATCACTGACTGATGATGTTACCTGCCAGCTGCTCTCTTCCATGTAAAAGTTAAGTGTTCATGTAGTCATGGCAACATGCCTTTGATAGTGAGTGAACAATGCAGAAATGGACCAGTCCGCCAGTCCTGTCTCTTGTGCCTGGGACACAGCGTGAGGCCATTCTGGGAGAGAGCAGCGTTGGGTCAGGCCGTCAGTACAGCTGGCCCCGTTAGCTCACACCCACTCGGAGGCAGCCGCCCCTGGCTATGTTTCCAAGAGCTCATTACTAGATTCCTCATTATAGTCTTGGCTGAGCTGGCACATTTGGCAGCCCATGGTGCAAATGAGAAAGATATGAGTCTGACTAGGGTGCATTTTCCCTTCCTGTCTTTCTCCAGAAGGGGAGGAAGTACTTGCAAGGGAAGTTACTTCTGATATTAATAGGCATTATGGTTGGCCTCAAAGGCAGCCTGGGTTAAGATTGCAAGATGCCATTTAAAACAAACAGCGGGGTGTGCCATGGGGCTGTTACATCACAGGCAGTTCTCATTCTACAGAATGCTGTTTCTATGATCTTATCTGCTGCAAGAGACCTTAAACTACTAGTTAGCATTTTAGAAATTTGCATAGTGAGCACTAGAGCACTAGCCATTATGAACTGATTGAGTTGGGGCGTTCTGCACCCTTGGGGCTTGAGGAAGCACTCAGAGGGACCCAGGCCTGGAGGAAGGAGATGCTGCTCACGGCCTGGAAAAGGCCCCAGCGGCCAGCTGGCAGAAAGGAGGGTTTTCTTTGCTGTTTGTGGCTGTGAACTGGCTGCAGGTTGGTCTGTCTAGGTTTTTCTTTTGATTCTCTTGTTGAGCTGTGGTCAAGCCATTTATTATTTGTAGCTAGTAACAAAATTCAACTCTTCACTGTTGAGCTCCTTCAGGAAGAATTACCTGGTTTTATCATCTACAGCCTCAGCTCTCCCTTTTCATCTTGAATAGCTATTTTTAATGTTTCTTAATGTTGTGAGTTTTCTTAGGAAGATAACCATGGTTTGACAGCAGAGCTAAT